AGAGGTTACCTAAATAAGCAATCAAGTATTCAACATGCCCAAAACTTTTGCAGCACTTCAAAGATAAACAAACAAAGTCACGTCATCTTCCACAACAGGTGTTAGATCAGATCAGTTGGAACATACCAACTCTTGTTCAGTAAGACAATAATAATGTGCAAAAAACTCATGTCAGAATTAACTCCATCAAACAAAGTCTATAGAATAATGGTGAAAATACCTGAAAATTAAGCTGTGTGTTAAAATAAAGAAAAGTTTGCACTCGGAATAGACAGACCCATGGATTTTTTGTGTTTAAAAGATGATTTACTTAGTATCTCAGGTGTTCCATCTTGTTTTTGTGAATATCTGCTTCATAAATAGGAGTTGGGAGGTCATGTGGCGGTTGTACAGGACATTGGTTAGGCCACTTTTGGAATAAAGCATGCAGTTCTGATCATCCTGCTATAGGAAGGATGTTGTGAAACTTGAAAGGGTTCAGAAAAGATTTACAAGGATGTTGCCAGGATTAGAGGGTTTGAGCTAAAGCGAGAGACTGAATAGGCTGGGGGTATTTTCCCTGGAGCGTCATAGGCTGAGGGACGACCTTATACAGGTTTACAAAATTATGAGGGACATGGATAGGGTAAATAGACAAGGTCTTTCCCCCAGGGTAGGGAAGGCTGGTACAGTTACAACATTTAAAAGGCATCTGGATGGGTATATGATTAGGAAGGGTTTAAGAGGGATAAGGACTAACTGCTTAAAGGGTATTGCTGACACAGCGTGTACTCCTTCCCTAAAAGACACCAGGCCAAATGACTAGATTTATCTAGGATATCTGGTCGGCACGGACGAGTTGGACCGAAGAGTCTGCTTCGGTGCTGTACGTCTCTATGACTCTATAATTTCCCATATTTATAACAGAACTTCTAATTTTTGGAATTAAAGTTTGAACTAGCAATAAATAGAAGCACCTGGTTGAGAAACTGATTAATACAATCTAACCAAGACTAGGTTTGTTATGTTTGAAAATGTAGTTTATCATTATACAATAGGTTAGAATTGACAGTAGGGACAGTTGAATAATGAAGGATCAACTGTTTAACAGATCAATATCCCAAGATATTGAAATTAAAGAAATTAGTAAGTGATTTTATTGTAAATCTATAGTTTAGCACAAAGGCCATTCCTTTCCCTGTCCTGAACCCAACTCGCATGTAGGGAAGAACCCAACCCTTAATTTTTATATAAATAAAACAGTTGTTGAACTCAGCTCTTGTTCTTTAAAAATTAAATCACCACCAAAAATCACCCATTTCAGGAACCCAACTCTTTTTTTCAAAAATTAACAGGAGATTGCCACAAGCCATGCCCGACTTGGATGTGTCTTAAATCTTGGAGATGGTCTTCCCAACATCATCCTTGTTTATCAAATTGTCTTAAATTCAGTCTAGCAGGTTAGTGTAGCTATGTCATATACCCTAGACTGTTGGTGGTCCTCTAGGGGCCATCCTCTGATGGAATTCTGAGCTTCAGGAGGGACACACATGGAGCTATGAAGTTCAATGTGCATCATCTGTTCTCAATAAACTCAAGTTGCTCTGGTTGACCCTCAAATGGATCCGCATTTCTAATACTAACACCGAACATTGGGCTTATGGTAGAACCAGAAGGTCTCCACTTACCTCAATCAAAGTTTTAAATTAAGCAGTTACCAAATGAAAAGTTGGGAAAGATGATGAACAAGGGAGTTCCTGGACAGGTGTGGAGATTCTAAAACCTCTCTGCACTTTTTACAGAATCAAAAGAGCTGTGTTGAAGGTAATTTTTACATGTCTATTTAATGACTTCCCAATGAATGCCACATTGAAATAGGCTTAGGCTACTGGGTCAAACAGTCTTTTGTTTAATTTAGTCTGGGTGTTTACTCGAAAGATTGGCTGTTGAGGTGTTGCGGAGTCAACATGAGATGATTATTAGTCAGGTTTTATACAGGATATGCATGATCTTTATTGCTCACCAAGTAGAATGTGGGTAGAGTTCAAACTGCTTGTATTTTTGAAGGAAATGATGGATAATCTAACTAGCTTGCAGCCCAAGGAAAAATTCTACAATGGTTCTCAAGGAGCCATGTGGCATAAAGCAATGAGCCTAAATGAGTATCTAGTGAATTCCAGAGTCCACTGTCATACCTTTAAGCTGGTTCTTCAAAATGTGGTTGAACCTTCAAGATTCTTGTAATATGAAAGGAATTGTTTAGCTGGTATAGTAAAATAAAAGTAGAATTCATAGCGTAATCATAAACTACAGCATTAAGTTAATAGCACTTGGTTTAATTCTTATATGCAATAAAGCTTGTTTTTGTTTCAAAACATTATTCCTGTGGCCTAGTTGTCAGTTAATTGGATTATATTCAGACTTTATTATTATGACTTGTTTGTTACTGTTAAGCTCAAAAGAAAATGAAATTTGAAAAACAAACAAAATTTTCAATTTGAAAGAATAACTGAATTTCAGGAGAGACTGTCTGACCCAGGAGAAAGACTACCCAGGAACAAGACAGAATAGGAAAAATGACTGATGTTTACATTACACCCTCAACCTCAATGTCCAAAAGTATTTTATACCAAATTAAACAGTTGCTATTTCAATGTGGTAAACAGTAGCTAATTTACACATGCTGGCTCCCACAATGCTGCAATGAAATAAGTAACGAGATCATATATCTCAATTGTTGGACCATCTGAGCTTATACAACCAAGTTTTAAATTTCTTATCTGGCAGATCAACATTTCCCCCATACTGCACAGAAATGTCAGTCTAAGTTATATGCGTCTTAAGTGGGACTTGAATCCACTTAAATTGGATTCAGAAATGAGAATGCAATCAATGAGCTACATCTCACACGGACTAACCACATAGACTTTTAGCTTTTACAGAAGAAATGTTGCCAATAAGTCCCTGCTCTTCAAGTTGTATCAAACGTTCTAGTACATCATAGAGTCAAACAGCATGGCAACAGACCCTTTGGTCTAACAAGCCCATGCTGACCATGATTCCCAAAGTAAACTAGTCCCACTTGCCTGCAATTGACCCATATCCCTCTAAACCTTTCCTATTCATGTACCTATCTAAATGCCTTTTTAATACTGGAACTGTAACACTTCCTCTGGCAGTTCATTCCACATACGAACCACTCTCCATGTGAAAAAGTTGCCCCTCAGGACCGTTTTAAATCATACTTCTCTCACCTTAAAAATTGCCTCCTAGTTTTGAATGCCCCACCTTAGGGAGAAGGCCTGTGCTATTCACCTTATGATTTTATAAACACCTATAAGGTCACCGCTCAACCTATGACATACCAGTGAAAAAAAGTCCTAGCCTATCCAGCCTCTCCTTATAACTCAAACTCTCCAGTCCTGAAAACAACCTGGTAAATTTTTCTGAACTACGTTCAATTTAATAACATTCTTTCTATAAGCAGGACGATCAGCACTGTACACAGTACTCCAAAATTGGCCTCACCAAAGTCCTTTACAACATCAACACTACATCACAACTCCTATGATCTGAGCAATCAATCAAAGCATGCAGAGCACCTTAACTACTGTATCCACCCATGTTGCAGCTTTCAAAGGTACCTGAACCCCGAGGTCTCTGTTCTAGAACATGACCCAGGGCCCTACCATTAATTGTAGAAGTCCTATCCTTGTTTATTTAATCAAAATGCCATACCTCGCATTTATCCAAATTAATCTCCATCTGCCACTGCTCAGCTCATTGGGTTAATCAATCAAGATCCCTTTGTAATCTTAGATAATCTTCTTTACTGTCAACTATACCAGTTTTGGTGTCATCACAACTTACTAATCGTGCTTCCTAAATTTTCATTCAGACCGTTTATATAAACGACAAACAAAAGTAGACCCAGCAATGGGGAACACTGCTAGTCACAGGCCTCCAGATGGAAAAACAACCCTCCATCATCACCTTCTGTATAGAACAGGCAAATGTCTCAATTAATGCAACAGCCAAAAGATCCACCATTAACATACCTTTCCTCTACATTTAAATGCTAGATTAAATTATATGCAAAATTCCATAGAGTAAATCCTGAACCTGTAGCTTTCTGACTCAGACCAGTAATCTGACCAAAATGAACTAAGACAACGCCCAAGTCATCGTGTGTACCATTTGTAACTAAGCAGATAAATCAATCAGATAATTGACTGGAACAATGAAAGAATAAGGCATGAGTGGGGCAGGAGTGGGATCAGTACAGGATTGTGTTCTCAGTTCCAAATAACCCTGTAAACTACTGCTCCAACATGTAGCTGACTAAGCAGTGCAAAACATTACATTCCATGATGATAACCAGTGTACTTTCAGTGGGTTGAATCCCATCACCATCCTATTAAGTATTTGCAAACTGCTTATCTTTGAATTTTGACAACGGTGACCTGTTTCATCCTAGAAAGCCCTTTTTTGGCAGAACCACAACACTCACGTTCCGCATCCACGATGGAGATCACCTATGTAGATTACTCGGATTAGTCCTTCAAGCGTTGTGAAGGGTTTACACATCAGGCATCCAGCTGACAACAAAAAGCTTTCAAACCACATCAGCCCATTTTACGAAATTATCTACTTTCTACCGTTGCTTTTATCTTTAAGCGGAGGGCTGCAGCAGGAGTGCTTCAAGCGTAGCATATATCGTTAATTACTTGTGCTTCTTTCGCAACCCACAGGAAGTACTCAGCCCGTCTTTATTTTTGAAAATGGCTGGAGTACAACGAACGCTGCACACTCTACGGGGCAGCGCTTTGGAACCAAAAAAAAAGTGCAGTGGGAAACGCAGATTTCAACTTTCTTTTTAAAAGATAAAAACAAAGAAAATAACAACAAAAAAAAAATAAGTTATTTCTAATAAAGAATAAATCAGAGATTGGGAAGGAACAGCGACCTGGTAGTGGGCGCTGCCACTGAACAAAGCTCGGTCCACCCCACCTCGGGCCTACCTTTCCCCTCAATCCTCTCAAAGCCTTCAGCCCAGTAACCGCCGCAATCGTGATTTCTTGTCTCTCTCTCACACACACACACAGAAAGAAAGAAAGACCAGGTTTCCAGCTCCAGTAACGGTTCATCCCGCACGACCACCGTTCACACAGATTGAGCTGCCCGGGGCAGACATAACTCCTTTTGTTGCCCAGGGAGACAGCCCGGTCTGCACCCCTCCCCCACACCCAGCCTCAGCCACGCGCACAGGTGAGGCAGCACGAGCCCCCGCTCACCTGAGGACACTGCTCCTTCCTTCCTTCCCTCCAGCCGCCGATTTTCTTTTCCCAAGGAGAGACCGATCTCAGCAGGAGCGGCTCGCACAGGACGGCAGCGGCACTCTCGCTGTACGAGGCATGTCAAGCAAAGATGCCTCACAGCTCCCACGAGCGCGTCTCACATATTCACGTCTGATACGAAATAAATCGGGCACGCACAACGGAGAACCCACTTGCACTACAAAGCCCAACATCCCCACGCCACCAGCTCTCGCTCTCCCTCCCCCCCCCAAAAAAAAAAGCAGTGCAGCACCTTCCAATGAGATCAATGAACAACTGGAAATTCACCTCATCGAAATGTCACAACAACATGTACGGAGATTTAAATCTGAAATTGAGCAGAAGTATATCAAATACATTTAGTTTTCACGGCTGTGCGATATTTTATCAAAATTCTTTAAAATATGGTTGTCAGCCCAAGGTACTATAGCTGATATTGCCCGAAAAATTTTAGAGAGCTAGTAGAAATCAGTTTTTAAACCGCGTTACTGACCAAGAGCTAACCATTCATCATTTTTGCGGTGCATATCATCGGTCATAGTGTAAATGCTCAGTGAGCATGATATAAGATCTCTCTCAAAGTGCTTTATTCTAGAAAAAAAACAGCAATATAGACGAAATTTTATTACAATTTGTCAATTTATTGTTGAAAATGTTTGATATGTTTTAGTGATATTTCGTAGAAAACTGTTTAATATCAATAAAGGAGAAATGTTTCACCATTTTCTACTGTAAATATACTGAAGTATAATTTCCAAGCTGCCCTGCAATATTTTGTCCTAGTCATTGAGTCATTAAAACAAAGGAAGAGGCCATTAGAAGCATGGTGTCAATGTCGCCTCTGCAAAACAATAGTCAGTCTTGCATCCGCTGTACCCGGTGTGGCTTCCTCTACATCGGGGAAACCAAGCGGAGACTCGGGGACCGCTTTGCAGAACACTTACGCTCGGTTCGCAACAAACAACTGCACCTCCCAGTCGCGAACCATTTCAACTCCCCCTCCCATTCCTCAGACGACATGTCCATCCTGGGCCTCCTGCAGTGCCACAACGATGCCACCCGAAGGTTGCAGGAACAGCAACTCATATTCCGCTTGGGAACCCTGCAGCCCAATGGTATCAATGTGGATTTCACAAGTTTCAAAATCTCCCCTCCCCC